CCCTCTCTCTCTCTCCTTCCCTCTCCCTCTCTCTCCTCCTCTCCATCTCCCTCTCTCTTCCTCCCTCCCTCTCTCTCCCTCTCCCTCTTCCTCTCTCCCTCTCTCTCTCCCTCCCTCTCCCCCTCTCCATCTCCCTCTCTCTCTTCCTCCCTCCCTCTCTCTCCCTCTCTCTCACTCTTCCTCTCTCCCTCTCCCTCCCTACCTGTTTTACATCATCTGTATCGGTGGTGGGATTCAATTTTTTTTAGTATCGGTGCTGTAGGTGTGGCTTGGTGGGCGTGGCAAGGGAAGGATACTGTAAAATCTCCAGTCAGAAGAGGTATTTGCCGGTTCTCCGAACTACTCAAAATTTCTGCTACCGGTTCTCCAGAACTGGTCAGAACCTGCTGAATACCCACCTCTGATCTGTATAAACTTCATTTGCACCTTCTCGTTATTTTGCAGAATGAAGAGCCCATCTTCTCTAAAGATGGCAAGAAGTTCTTTTTTGTCCGAGCCATACCTCAAGGGGGACGAGGCGAGTTTTACCATATTGCCATGTCATCATCTCAGGTGAGACTACCTTTGTAGAACAGGTGGGTGAGATTAAAATACATGTAGATAAGTTCTTATGACAGGATAGATTGGCTGCTGCTAAGCCACACTCAGAATGTCCTCTGGCCAAGTCAGCAATGTCTAAATATGACCCAAGCTTTTCCAGAAAGAAAGCTGGTTTGTTACGGGTGGAAAAACCACTTACGATGCAGATTTGAAGTTTCAAAGGCGACATCTGTCTCTCACCCACAGTCACTGATTGCATTTTGGGCAGTTGGCAAGTGATTCACATTTATGGCCATTTGCAATGTCCCACAGTTTCCAGTTTTCAGCAAAAAAAAGAAAAAAGAAAAACCATTGCAATCAATAAATTTAATTAACAACCACCAAAAAATATCAGGTTGGACATGTGATGACCCACTAAACAACGAGCATGATTTATGACACTCATTCTCAATAAGTTGCTGAACATACTTTTATCCTCAAAAATCACATAGGGCTGAGAGAGAGAAGAATTGGCCCAAGTCACCCAGCTGGCTTTCATGTCTAAGTAGGGGCTACAACTCACAATCCGTAAGCTTCTTGGAGGAGATAAAAATACAAAAAATGCCACACTAGAACAAATACATTATTGTGATTAGCTACCCTGGAAGAAAAATGAGAACAAATGTATTTTGTTCCCATTTTAATAGAATTTACTATTCACATTTCTGGAACCAATGTAGCAACTCTAATGTAATTATTTCCACTTCTCTGACTTTTGCAGTGTAACCCACCAATTATTAATGGATTTAAAAATGTATATGTTAAGACTAGTCGAGGTATTAGAGCTTAATGTGTTAAGAAATAATAATTGGTTGATGGTCTTCTGATCTCATCCAGTAAGACTCAGGTAGCCTCTCTTTATTTTCGGAAAAAAGCTGTTGAATTTGGGGCACAGATGGGCCAAAAAAGTGACCTTAGTTTCTTTTCTCTTCCTGCTATTTAATTATTATTTCTGGGAATTTGAGAAAGAAAAAAGTTATCAGGGTCCAAGAAAATCTGTTTTAGTTTTTATAATAGGGTTACTGTTCAGATATTTCCATGAGATTATACAGGTAGTCCTCAATTTATGACCTTGTTTAATGACCATTCAAAAATTACAACTAACCCAAAAATGGGAACTTACAACCCAGATTCAAAATTCTGCCATTCGAGTCTACAGGGCTACCTTTACCCTTCCTGGCAAAAATTCAACTTTTGGAAAATGTTGCATCCAAAATTGTATATGTAGACGAAAAGCAGCAGTGACAAACTGACAAGTGGTTCTTTCTGTCTTCCACGTGGAAAGGCCTCAGTACAGATAGTCCTCATTTAATAACCAATCATTTTATGGCCTTTCAAACTTAACGGCCATAGAGGCTGAAAAGCATCCTTGGCCACTATAAATGGTCATGTTGCTATCTGCCTGCAATTATGTGAGCAGGGCCCCCAAGAGGATTATTAAGTGCTGGAACAAGACTAATATGGGCCCCCTCACAAGAGGGTGCCCCCGGCCCAAAGCACTCACCTGAGGGCAGCGGTGCAACAGCCTCCTCAGCCAGGCTGTTCATGGTGCTGATGGGACCAGGGCCGGCCTGGGCGAGGCATTGGTGCGCGCATGTAGGTCAAGCCATGAGCGCTGCTCTTTTCCCACAGAGAGGGGCGCCAGAGAGGTGGTGGGGCAGAGCAGCAAACGCACAGGGCAGGCCGGGAGCGCAATTTCTCTGCCATGGAGGGGCGCACCATAGAAATGAAATTAAAATTCAATAAATTACACAAATAACTGTTCATTGAGTTTCAGATTAATAAAGGTTATGTCAAACAAGGCTGCAAGGCGGTTTTGCTATACACGCAAAGCATCGGATTTGAAGTATATATCCAATTTTTTTTAAAAAAAAATGGTTTTGTTAAAAAAAAATAAAAAAATTGAGCTCCATGGGACCCGGAACAATGTAACAGCTGCACCCCCACTCTCCTCAGGCCTGCATACTGTAATCGCTTTTACAAGCCTTTAGGGTGTTGTCAGCTTTAAAAGTCATATTCCATGCTGCCACATAACTTGAGAGAGTGGAGGGGGTTGATTTCAATTAAGTAGCTCTAAGCAGACAAAATAAAATTCTTTTGTTAGTCCAAGGTCATTGAATATGGCACAGGATGAAATAAGGATCTTACTTTTGGACGGATCGTGATTGGGCCATGTGATGTGATGATGGCCAAGGGGGGATGGATTTGTAGTTTGAGAAATTGTGCAAAGCCCGAAAAATTCCAATCTGATTTTTGTGTAACAACCGCTGTATTCACTTAACAGTCACCACATTTGCTTAACAACAAAAAAAGCCAGAAATTTACTTCCAGTCATGCGGGTATCTCAGTTTAACAATCTTAGCAATTTACAACCATAATTCCGGTCTCAATGACAGGTGTAAGTCAAAAACCACCCCCAGTGCTTTTTTCTCCTCTTTTTCTCTTGAGTATGGAATATGTTTATTTTGGGCATAAACTCAAGTCTCTTTATTTACACGGCATTTAAATTTTAAGACTGTAGCATAATGCTATTTTTCAGATGGTGGAAGAGAATTTCAGGGGATGTGTTTGAGGAAATGGGTAAATCTGATTTTCACTGATAAGAGGTTTCGCTGAATCTTTCTGAAGTCCTGTTTTTTCTTCTTTTTCTTGGCAGCCCAATAGCAGCAATGATAATTTACAGTCTATTACATCGGGTGACTGGGATGTGTCCAAAATTTTGGGCTATGATGAGAAGCAGCATAAAATGTAAGTAATTTTTTTAAAGTAAAGGAAACTGATCATTTTTTTTCCTCTTTAACAAAGCCAATGGTATTGTATCACTGGTTTGAGATTTACATATGATAACCTGATCAGTGGAAAACATCCGCTGAAAGCCAAAAAATGTGTATCAGTTTTACTTTGGTTGTGGTGAAGGTCCCAATCTGTGAAATGGGCATAAGAAACATAAAATGTTATGTAGACCCTCCTGCTGTCATAGCGCCATTGAAATATTTTCTACCGCATATGGAATGGGAAGATCTGGCTTGGCAGAAGTAGATCAGCAGCTGAAAATGAGCCAGCAATGGGATGCAATAGCTGAACAGGCCAATGCAATTTTGGGTTTCATTAACACAGGCATTGCATTCAACTTATGGAGTTAATTCCATCCTGGAATTCAACCCCTTTGAAGAATAATTTGAAGAATGAGGCAAGTTTACATTACAAAAGCGTTAGAAAACTGTACAGTTATCATTACATAAGACAATCATAGTAAAAGAGTCAGATAAATTCCCTGTTTTGGAACAAGTAAAACCCCATAAGTTGAATTAAAAGCGAAAGATTCAGACTTAATCTTAGGAGGAATTTTGTGATAGCAATAAATATTATTTGCTTAAATGGTGACTGGAAGACTTCTCGTCTGGAATGGCTTAAGCAGATTCTTATACTGAGCAGGAGGTTGGATTTTGTGACCTCTGGGTTCCCTCTGCCGCATATGCATTCCTTGATTCTGTGACATTTCAAATACAAGAAGTACTTTGGATATATCGTATTTGTCCTTTGATCTTTGTGCAGAACTGATCTGGTTGTCAGAAAAGAAAATTTAATGGATTTCCAGACTTTTGTTTTGTTTGTTAAAAGTAGCATTAAAATGCATTGGATTATATAATTCCTTGTGTCTGAAATGTCTTAATTGGGGAAGAAGAATGAGAGCTGTTAAAGAGGATTCATTGCTAAACTGTCAGTCTTGCTAGGGTGGCAGTTTAAATCAGTACAATGGAAATGTTATTTTTCTGTCGCTTTGATCAACATTGAGATTCTGTGTCAGTTTCGTCCGACAGCTAAAAAGCCGTGACTAATTTGGAAAGCATAATTGCACGTGACTACATTTAATTGCTTGATTTCCATTTTATTTTGACAAATGTGTTCAAATATAGATCAGGGACATGTTGCCCTCAAATGTGAAGGAGCTTTAGCCAAAAAAAAAATATGAACAAGAGTTTCTGATTACTTTTCAACCATGAATATGGACCCATAATTTAGAAAATATAGAGAAATTGGGAGCACAATTTGGTAGGATGCTAGAAAATGGATTGGTAGCCAAAGAGGTTCAGTGAAAATAAAACAGAGTGAATTCAAATGATGCTGCAGCTTAATCAATGCAGGTAGTCCTTGACTTACAACCAAGGCAGGAACCAGAAATTCTATCGCTCAGCGAGGCAGTTGATAAGTAAGTCACCCCAATTATATCACTTTTTTTGCCACAGTTAAGTGAATTATGCAATTGTTGTATTACATGTAGGAAACCTGGCTTCCCCCATTGACTTTCTTTACTGGAAGCCAGCTGGGAAGGTCAGAAATGGCGACCACATGACATTGCAACTGTCATAAATACATGCCAGTTGCAAAGTGGCTGAATTTTGATCATGAGACCATGGGGATACTGTGATGGTTGTAAATGCAAGGACTGATCATAAGCCACTTTTTTCAGTGCCACTGTAACATTGAACAGTCACTAAACAAGTGGTTATAAGTTGAGGACAACCTGTATCTACATTTTTTTCTATCTTTTTTACTGTCATGTGAAGCACTAGAGCAGGGGTGTTAAACTCAAGGCCCACAGGCCAAATCTGGTCCATGGGGTGCTTAGATCTGCCCCACAGGGCCAGCCTGGAAACAGCAAAGGACTGGCCCATGGTGCCTCGGCCAGGGAAAACAGAGCTTGGGGGGCTGCAGGAGGCCATAGTGGCCGAAAGCGGGGCACGGAGGGCTGTGTGCAGCCACCTGGCTCCATTTTCACTGGCAGAGGGCTATCCAAGCAAACTAAAAACAAAACAAAAGGAGAAATGTTTCCCCTTTTTCATTTGAGCATGCAAGAAGGGACAGGAAGGGAGGAAGGGAAAGAAGAAAGACAAAGAAAAAGAAGGGAAGATGGGAAGAGAGCAAGGAAGGAAAAATAAGGAAAGAGGGGAAGAAAGAAGAAGAAAGAGGGAAGGAAAAAGAAGAAAAGGAAGGAAGGAAGGAAGGAAGGAAGGAAGGAGATTATGAGAGTGAGGGAGGGTCTCAGGGAAGACCTGCCTTAGCACTAGGCCACCATGGGTACCCCGACACGAGCCTTGTGTCATGCCCATTATGTCCACTCCCACTCCCAGCCTTGCCCACCATGGCCTCCAGGGGTGGGATTCTATCAGTTCGCACCTATTCACTAGAACCGGTTGTTAACATTCTAAACAGTTTGGAGAACCAGTTGTTAGAAGAAATTACTGGCCTAATCCTGTAAGGAAGGCAGGAAGGAAACATTCTGGTGTTGCTTACAGAAACTGCCTCTCGATTAACCCTTATTACATTCTTGGCAGGACTAGACTTCCTGTCTCTGGAACTTCTTTAGAGTTCTTTTTCCCCTCCTTTGCTGATACTTTGCTTGTGTGGAGTGACCATTCAAAGTTACAATGGAACTGAAAAAAGTGACTTATGACCATTTTTCACACTTACAACTGTTGCAACATCCCCACAGTCATGAGAGGGCAGGCGAGGAGATGCATGCCTTGATATGAGTGATATTGAGTTGGCCACGCCCAACCAATAACATGACCACCAAGCCACACCTACCACCTAAGTCACGCCCACAGAACCGGTTGTTAAAACATTTGAATCCCACCCCTGGCCACCTCCACCCACCCCCAGCCCTACAAGATCAAACACAACCCTGATTTGGCCCTCGATGAAATCAAGTTTGGTACCCCTGCACTAGAGCTATAAAAGTATATTGAATAAGCAAACAAAATTAATAGAGTTCCAAATGTCAGCTAGTTTCAGATAGTTTAAGATAATGAAACACTATTTTATATACTGCATCATTGATTGGGCCCCACTTACATCTGCAGATTGTCCCCACCTCTGCACCTGAAAGCTGAATACATGTTTATAAGCACTGGGAAAAATAATTATATAAAACAGGAGACAAAAATAAACATTTGGAGAAATAGGAAAGAACTTGAATATTCACACAGTACAATGAAGAAGGAGAAGAACCTAAAACCAGCCACTTTTTTTTTTCAAATTCCCAACCATGAGGACTAGAGTCTTGTCTAAGAAAAAGCAACCTGGAATCTAGATTTTATCAAGAAACAAACACTCCAGACTGTTTCTGGCTCATAAGAACTTTTGGCCAGATGTTTTTCACTTCTGTTTTAAAGGAAATTTATGCTTAGGGAACTCACATCAGCGAAAAGTTGCTCCTAAACATCTAATTATGTATGTATGTATGTTTTATTTTAGTTATTTCCTCAGCACAGAAGAGTTGCCAAGGACTCGGCATTTATACAGGTATGATTAGTTTTATGCCAAGATAACTTTCTGATTATATTTAGGAAAAAGACTCTTGCTACTTAAGAAGGTAAAAAAAATATTGCTGTCAGCTTCCCAACTTTTATTTTGGGGACATTATTGTTTATCTGTCTTTGTCTTGTGGTCTTTGTTTTCGTTTTTCTCTTGTTTATTTATATATGGAATTTATTTTGGAGGAGGGAAGGAAACAAACATTCTAACAAAGAATATTTTAAAACATCTTAAAGATAAACAAAATAGCAAGCCCTTTCCCATTTATCCAATATCTTTAGAATCACCTCCCAAATGACTGGTGTTTGCAGTACCATAGGCAGATGAACTATGGCCAGTAGCACAGTTCTTGTTTTGTTCGTTTCATTATGTGGAAAAGGTTATATTTGTCTGTCATCCTCTGAAATGGCAGGTGCTGAAGAAGTCCTTCCTAAAAGGTCTGCGGTCATATTCCACATGTAAACCATCCAGGGCACCTCGGTGGATGCCTCAATCAGGATTCAGTGCTTACATGTGTACCAAGAAGGCAATTTCAAACACAGTTCTTGGAATTCTCATTGTTTTAATCAGATTCTTGATGCAGAATAACATTATTGTTGCAGGATCAAATTTGGATCTGTCACTGAGACCAGAGGTTTAACTTCCCTTAAAGAGAGATTTCCTGAGGATCAGAGGTGGTATTCAGCGGGTTCTGACCAGTTCTGGAGAACCGGTAGTGGAAATTTTGAGTAGTTCAGAGAACCGGCAAATACCACCTCTGACTGGAGATTTTACAGTATCCTTCCCCTGCTACGCCCACCAAGCCACGCCCACAGAACTGGTAGTAAAAAAATTTGAATCCCACTGCTGAGGCTGGGCTCCAGCACAAATCTGAAAACTCAGAAGACTGAACCTCTGGACCCAATGACGGACACAGATTGCATCCTGCAATATTATCTTGGGTCACATATGATTGCCTTCATTTGTGATGTTATTATCATCCCAAATCAATCCACTCTAGGATGAAATTCTCTTCACTGAATGTTTTGAACCCTCATCTAGCACTCTGGTCCAGTGCAAGTTGATTGATAGCCCTTCTTTTGACATCACAGTCAAGGGTCAACTTCTATGCTTAAGGGAGAACTAGAATTTAATCCAGCACATTATCCACTACACTAGCCTTTTCCAGTCTTTGCAACTTTCAGATACATAGCCTTTGAATTTCTGAATTTCTGGGAGTTGAAATCCACATATCTGAATGTTGCCAAGGTTGAAAAACCCATTTTTTTCACACTTGATATGCATGTCTTTCACCTTCAGTACTTGCCTGCTGTCACTTCAGATTTTAATCTTAATTCCATTCCTTTAAAATTCCATTCCTTTAAAAAAAACCAATTCGTTTTGTTTAGGCCTAAAACATTTTAAAAGCCTCCATCTTCTCAGTCTTCTTCTAGGTCAGTTCTTCTAGGTTGATGGCTGGCTGGGGAATTTGGGGAGTCTTAAAGTTGACACCGTTGATCAACACTGTTGTAGGCCATTACAGCTGATTTGTTCCCATTTCAATTGCATCTAGCCAGTTATGTCTAGTGGTTAAGGCATCAAGGTAGAAACCAGGAGTCTGTGAGTTCTAGCCCCATGTTAGGCATGAAAGCCAGCTTGGTGACTTTGGATAACTCATCAGGAGACAGTGAGTTCTAGTCTAACCTTAGGTATGAATGCCAATTGGGTGACTTTTGGCAGTCTCTATCTCAGCCCAATCCACCTCAGAGGATTGCTGTTGTGGGGAAAACAGGAGGAGAAAGGAGTATTATGTATGTTCACTGCCTTGAGTTACTGGTAAAGTAATAAAGGCGGGATAAAACTTGAATCAATGGATGGATGGATGAATCTAACCACGATGTATACATAGAAAGCTGCTTTGCATTTTGAGAGATTGTTCATCTACCTGGCCCAATATTATCTACTTATCTAGTTTAGTCTCCCAACCCTTTCAAATATGTGGGGCTGTAACCTCTCAGAATTCCCAGCCTACATGGGTTGCAACTCATCTGGATGGAAACAGATTAGGGAATGCTGAATTTGAGGCCAAGATAATCTGGTGGTCTAGATCATATGTTAATAAATATTCCTTCAGCCTTTTTGGCTTTTTGAGAATTAAGCTCTTTTGTTTTTTTTCCGTTGTTTGTTACAGTGCCAGCACCAAGGGGAACTTCAACCGGCAATGTCTCTCTTGTGATCTGATTAACAACTGCACTTACTTCCATGTAACATTCAGTCACAACATGGCGTACTTCTTGTTGACCTGTGAAGGTAGGCATTACGCATAATCACCAATTTATTTCAGTTGATGCCGCACAAAGCGCAGATTTGTTTAGAAGGGGTTCGGAAAGAAATGGAATGCAGAGTATTTTAAGAACATTTAGCAGATATAGGAAGTCCTCAACTTACAACCGTTAGTGATCATTCAAAATTACAGAAGCACTGAAAAAAGTGACTTAAGACCATTCCTCACGCTTTTATTATTTATTTGTTTATATTCCACCTTTATTATTTTTACAAATAAAGTGGCAAACCTATTCAACACGACCCAAAAGTGCTTTTTCAAGAGGCAATTGGACTTCCTGGGCCTTTTTTTTTTTAAAGGATGTTTTGCTTCTCATCCAAGAAGTTTCTTCAGCTCTCCAAGAAGGACCTTAAAGAAAAGAAATCTGTGATCCCCAGAAAATGTCAGAAACATTTGTCTGTGTTATTGACTCAGAGAATATTACTGGCAGCACACAGCTTTTAATTACAGCCAGGGATTGAAAAGTGCTCCTGGCATCTTTGTTTATTAGTATGATAATACGGCCTTGGTATATGAGATTTCAGTGCATTACAGTGATCCATAATTCATGGCCTAGCAAATAAAGAGATCCTGGAAGCCATATGCTGGAGTGGGGGGGCGGGGGGGGCACAGGGAGGGGAGATCTGCCCTTTGCCAATTAGCCCCTTTGTAGCATCCAGGGGCTGCGTGCAATCTCCATATCTCCAGCTGCTCTTTTAAATCATTCATCATTGCTGGAAAGATACCATGATGGAGGCTGTGCATGGACTGTTTTCATTGTTGGGTTATGTAGGAAAAGATTTGTTTCTCTTAAATGTTCTGAAGGTATTTGAAGAAGAGGGTGTTTTTTTTAGCCATTAAAAAAGAATAAAACATTTTACTTTCTTACCACCTTTTAAAAAAAAAAAACCTTTCCTGCATTTTTTTTTCCTTGATAGTTATCCCAGAATACTAATTACTCATTATCATGATTTTATTGGCTTTATTTTATTAGTTTTTAAATTTTATAGGCTGGCCATCACTTTATCAGGGGACTGTCATTACTCCTTATTTTAAAACAACAACAACACAGGCACACATACTCACAAAGTGCTTTGGAAAAGCAAAAACAGGATTTTCCAAAAACATGTGGCACTTTTAATTATTTCCTTTGGTTCCAGCTCTAGGTGGGTGATTATTTTGTTAATTTCGTCATAAATGGATGGAAAATAGCGTTGTTTTTTTAAACAGCACCAATGCAGTGTGATCATTGTGTAAGGAAAAACAGTGGGGAAAGAAAATCTAGGCTAATAAAATAATTTTAATATTATTTCTAACAATTAATCAGTCTTTTAGTTGATGCAACCAAAATAAATCTTAAAAATATATATATATTTTTGCAATTCCCTGAACAACCGAATGCTTGAATAGCAAAAACTGTCATTTTGTGTGTTTCATAGATTTTCTATTTTGCCAATATCAAAAGAAGTCACTGCAGGTACATTTGCACCTATATTAAAATTGGGAGACGGGAAGAGAGTCAATCCCTGAATCAGAGAGACAGAGAGAAAAAAAAATATTGATTGCAAGGATACATTCATCTGGAAGTAACATACATGTGTACACACAAAAGCATTATGTATTCCCAGTGTTTAGAGGTGTTGAATTTGGCTCGGTAAATCCTAAATACACTAATGTTTGCAAGGAAAATGTTTTGCAGTGTAATGGAACAATATTTCAGAAGGGCTGTGGCTTCACAACAAATGACTAGCTTGATTCTTTTAGAGCTTCCTTAATCGTATTTTTTTCACTCCTGGGTTTCCCTCAGTTTACCATAAAGTACTGTACAAAAAGAGAAAACAGGCTTTGGGATGAAAACAGCTATATAAATGTGGGATGCATTTAAAAAAATGCAGTCCATAGATCTCAAGGGATCATATAAATGTCTTTAGAAAGATTGGTATAGAACAGGCATGTCAAACTCAAGACCCTCGGGCCGGATCTGGACTGTGGGGTGCTTAAATCTGGTGGTCCACGGGGCCGGCCTGGAAATTTCAAAAGGACCAGCCTGCAATGCCTCTCCTGGCCAAAACAGACTGCAGGAGGACTGCATGCGGCCCATTTTTGGCCTCCACAGCCCCCAGCAGCACTCTGCTGGCTGCAAATGGGCCATATGGGGCCTCTGTGCAGGCTGTTTTCGGCTGGCAGAGTGCTGCAGGAAGTCGTGGAGGCCAAAAATAGGCTGTGTGGGGCCTCTGCACAGCCCATTTTCGGCCAGCAAAGTGCTGCAGGAGGACTGGATTACAATTATGTGGCCTCAAGTAAGTGCTTGATCTGGATAGAAAACAAACAACATCCTATGTTAATAATACAAATATAAAGTAGACAAAGATAGATATTAATAACAAACATAAGTAAGGATAATTATTAGTGAAGTATATGAATAGATGATAGAAAATATATGATAAAATTGTATGCATGTCAATGCAAAATGCAGTTGAGAATGTAAATACGATTTGTACTAGTAGAAAACAGTGAAATTTATTTGTGCAATAACTCTCCTTGTTAGAAGCTGGCTGGGAACATTGCAAATGGCAATCATATGATTCCATATGATTGCCTTGCTGTGCATTATTCATTGTTTTTAATTAAAGTACGTTAAAAAAAATAAAATGGAGAGGGCAAAGCAACATGGTGAGGGCAAGGAATATGTTGAAAACCTTATCAGGACATCAGGTCCAAATAAGTGTCCCTGACATTACTTATACAGCTAGCCTCACAGTTACAGGTAGCCTCAACTGGCCAAAATGTATCCAAACACAAAAGCAGAATGTTGGAAGTGTAAACACAAAGAAGATTCTTCCATATGTGGTGGCAGTGTCCAGAGGTTAAACAATATTGGATGAAGGTACAAAGATGGTTATTAGAAATTACAGAGCACAAATTAAAACTCAAACTGGAAATATTCTTACTGGGAATAATTAAGGGAAAATTGAGCAAGGTCATCCGATATATCATTACACATATCATAACTGCAGCGAGAATAGCCTTTGCACAGGATGGAAGAAGGAAAAGATACCATCTGAAGAAAACTTGACACAAAAAAATAATGGATTGTGTGGAACTGGATAAATTCACAATGGAATTAAGAGGCAAAGATGATTCAGACTATTATGCGATTTGGGATCGGTGGTACAAATGGGTGGAGGATAGAAATAAGTGCTGATGTTTATGTATAAAAGGAGAGGTATGTATTAATAACAACGCAAACACTGTTAATGTGAATAGAGATTTGTATTTTTGTTTTTAAAAACTAAAATATTTTTTTTTTAAAAAAAACAACTAGTCTCAACTATAATTGTGGAGTTAGCTGCCATTATAACCCTACGATGGAAGCTTGCCTATCACAGTCATAGTGGGAGTCATTAAAAAAAAATTCCATGACAGTTGTTAAGCAAACACTAAGGTTGTGGAGCAAACGGCATGATCATTAAGTGAACCAATGGTTTACTAGGAGTGTTGTTTTACTTTAAAAAACTGGAAGTAAATGTCAATTTTTAGCAAAACTCTCTTGAAATATGGTCACGTGACTATGGGACACTACAAGCAACTGTAAATACAATCCGATTGCTGAGTGCCCAAGGGTCGATAACCTGACCACTGGGGGGGGGGGGGGGGGGGGCAACTATCTGAGTTATAAATAGTCTCCTGGCAGGTCATTTATAAGTTCAAATAGCCACTAAGTGATCAAATGGAAAACTACTATCGATAATTCCAGGCTATACATTCCCTTCCTTTGACCACAAAGATTTCTTCCTTATTTCTTTTTCATGCGCTGCTCTAGGAATATGTGGACTGATTGCAATCTTTGGGCTTGGAAGTCCCAACGTTCAAACATCTGGGTGCCACGGCTGGCTTTAGCTGACCCATTGACCAGATGGCTGTCATACACACATGGCCATTTGGATCAGTTCAAACATGACCTGTCCTTTTTGGGTTTATGGATCACTTTACTTTTTTGAAGCAGGGTGGATGCATTTTGGTCAGTGGTGGGATTCAGCCAGTTTTCACCAATTCGGGAAACCGGTTGTTCAATTATTTGAATTCCACCACTGATTTTGGTGTCTAAGAGATTGTATTTTTTTAAAAAAAGAAGGCAACATCACTGTACACAAAGCTGGCAGGAAGCAATGCTTAAAGATCAATTAATATCCTGCTAGAGTTTTACTTTCTCCTTCACACACTGGGTTATCTGAGAAGTGTAATCCTTTGTGCCCTACACATGACATTAAAATAATCTAAAAACAAATTCTTTTAATTGTGTTTGCACTAATTAAAATATTGACAAATTAGAGAAGATGAAGCAACCCAGGTCTCTGCTGGAAGAGTCTGTCTATCTTCCATTTTTGAGGGTTGGTGCCTATTAATTATCTTGGGGCAACTGGTTGCTTAGATCAGCTTTCCATGTAATAGGGAAGGGAATTTAACATCTAGCCCTGAATATCATTTTAGACCTGTTTTCTTAAATATAAATGCATTTTCTTTCTTTCTTCAAGGTCCGCGGATTCCAATGGTAACTGTCCACAGAACATCCGATACTCAAAGTAAGTGTTTTGCAGGGGGCTTTTGAGATTGGGAGATCTTCGAAAGAAAAGACAGCAGGCTCACCAGAGATCAAAAAGGCCAGAGAGATAACCTGAGTTCCAATGAGTGGAAAAGCCAAAGAGTATTTGTGGGTGTTACAAATTTAGAGAAATTGGAGAAATAGAATCGCGCAGCCGGCCTTTCCCTTAGGTAAAGAGACACACCGTGCATCTAATGTCATATTTAATGATTGCAAGCCAGCAACCTAGGTACATCTAAAGATGTGAAAATGGGATGTGTCCAGATTACCTGAGGAACCATAAGATCCCAATGGGATTGGCCTTCAAACGGAGCATGCTGATGAATCTGTCAATCCAACTGGTGGGGTCCAGGAAAGGGGCCCTTTTTTTTGGACATTCACTCCTGCCCTCTGGAACACGTATCCCTTGAGGCAGGGGTGGGAAATTAATTTTCCCAAGAGCCCAAATGAGGAACTGGGACTGTTCTGGAGAGCTGAACCAATATCTCCAGGCTGCTCTCTGCTCATGTGCCTGCAAGGCCACACTTTGACAAAGCATTAGTGGGTGGCCAAGCCTGGATCCCCCTAAACGAGGGTCCTCAAACTTTTTAAACAGGGGGCCAATTCACAGTCCTTCAGACTGTTGGGAGGAGGCGGACAGGCCAGGGGGCGTGGCTAAGTGGTCATGTGACTGGGTGGACATGGCAAGTTTAACATTAAACAATGCACACAAATTAAACAGTGGGGGCCGGCGAGTGGCCAGGGCAGCCTCGTGGTCCTGCATGAGCTGGATTAATGACTTTGATGGGCCGTATGCAGCCCGCGGGCCGTAGTTTGAGGACCCTTGCCTTAAGCAATGACCTAGCACTTCCTCAGGCTGCTCCAGGTGAGAGGGGTGAGTGCTGTACAGGAACAGAGAACTGTTTCCTCTCCTCACCCTTCTGTGGCCCCCAGCGGATGCACACAGTGACTGCGCAAAGCCATGACTTGGCTTCTTCTCCCATTCTCCTGCGATATATAACCAGGATGATTAGGGGCTTGAAGACTAAAACATATGATAAACGGTTACAGAAACTGGGCCTGGCTAGTCTATTAAAGAGAAGGACCAGGGGAGACATGATAGCAGTCTTCCAATATTTGAGGGGCTGCCACAGGGAGGAAGGGGTCAAACTATTCTCCAAAGCACCCAAAGGCCAGACAAGGTATAATGGATAGAAACTGAACAAGGAGAGATTCAACCTGGAAATAAGGAGAAACTTTCTGACAGTGAGAACAATCAACCTATGGAACAGAAGTTGCCCTCAGAAGTTGTGGGAGTTTCATCACTGGAGGCTTTCAAGAGGAGACCGGTCTGCCATCTGTCAGAAATGGTGTAAGGTCTCCTGCTTGGGTGGGGGGTTGGACTAGATGACCTACGAGGTCCCTTACAATGCCGTTAATCTGTAAATCTGTAATCCTTATTTATATTTTATTTTCTAACTACCAATTGACCTCATGCCAACCAGACAAGGACAGCCAAAGGGCTGGATGTAATCCTAGACCTGTAAAAATGTTCAGGTCTGCTTTGAGGTGAGATCTTCCCTCAGGCATTTGGTCTTCCGTAATTAATATCAAAATCTGGCTCTGCCAATTGGGCTGGGACCACAACGAAGCTGTTGAAAGTGCTTAGTGGACCAGAAAGGTCCGCTAATAAGTTAAAAAGTTAAAAAGCGAAAGGTTAGAGATGGAACCTCCTTTCCATCTCCAACCTTTCGCTTTTTAACTTATTTCATATCTGGTTTATTTTAATATCGAATGTGTTAACACTGTGCTTGCTTTTACAATTGAGATGGGCAGGATATAATTTTAATAAACAAATAAAATTTTCAAGGACAAAAGTTTGGGTGGTTGGAATAATGCTGAAGCATAGGTAAGTGCCGTGAGTATTTTATCCGCTTGCCTGTAAGTAATTCGATCAATGTTCCTGCTTTTTTTAAAATATATATAAAGTGGATGAAAAAGGAATCCTACTTTTTCCACATAGCACCAGATTTTGGGAGTGGTTGGGAGGGGAAGAAAATATATACCGGTAGGCTGGAAAAAAAATACAAGTGTATATTGGGTCATTAGATACTTCCAAAATGTCTAATTTTGCAGTGGGGATTCAAAGCAAGTAGAAGTTTAAAAGCAGGTCTATATTGGAGACCACAATAAAACACTGCAAAAAAAGGAAGGTCCATTATTCTGATCCAGTTCATTAAATAAATAAATAAATGCCCACAAGCAAGCAGGAAATGCTGTAACTGAGGGTAGAGAAGGGCAAAGAAGACACTGTGGGAAAGATGGAGAATGAAAGTAAAAAAGGTTATCGGTAGATAGAAAGCCGTTTTCCCGCGGTCTCTTGCACATGTGATTAAGAGACGCCGATGGTCTCATTATGCAGGTGTCTCTTGCAATAATGAATAGGAAGAACTATTGTAAGCACCCCTTATTCACAAAATAATTCTATTCTATAATATGAGAGACTTCTACAATAATCTGATAACTATAAATCCCACCCAATATTACCATCTGCTTATATTTAATTAAGGACTGGTTGTCTGAACAGCGCAGGCAAGGATTCCCAGTGGGCTTTGGGAGGTTTTGGGAGATGCATTCGGGAATCTTTAGATCTGTCAGCCTGCTCTTCTTCGTCTGTCCTTGCTTTCTGCGAATGCAATTATGAGAGCAAACAGGATGGCTGCTCTCGAGGGCCAGCCTCCTTCTGCTGATAAGGCTAATTGGGCAAGCGATAATTAAATGAGGATTCCAACATGCAATCAGGCTTAATTGTCTGATGCTTTGGCATTTTCGCTGGAGTTACGGTTGCAACAAAAATGAGAGAGAGATTATCAGGAAGAACTTTAACATGAAACCATTACATCTACCAGCTGAAATATCCACCAGGAGGGGGAGAACAGTATTTGGAACAGGGTGACTTTGCAAAGCAACTTCACAAGAGACAGACTTGTGGGCTGAGGATAAGGGATCAAAGAGTTTTGGGAGGAAAAAGAATCAATATTTCCTTGCCTTCTTTTCATTATTATTGTTATTCTATCCTATCTTTATTGTTTTTACAAATAAGGCAGTGAACATATCCAACACATCTTCCTCCTCCTCCTATTTTGCTCACAACACCAACCTTGTGAGGTGGGTTGGGCTGGGAGAGTGACTGGCCCAAAGTCCCCTGGCTGAGATAGGATTTGAACTCATAGAATAACAGAGTTGGAAGGGACCTTGGAGGTTGTCTAGTCCAACCCCCTGCTCGAGCAGGAAAGTCTATTCCAAAATTAGCCTCTACCTAGGATTGAACTCACCGCCTCCTGATTGTGAGGCAAGAGCTGCACCTCTAGGCTACTGGAGCTCATGTTTTTCTGCTTTCTAGCTGTTGTCTTAACTGCTAGACCAAACTGGCCAAGTTCATAACTGGCTTATAAGGTAGCTGATGCAAAAACAAATTCCTTCAAATGTTCTCTTAGCAACCCTAGACCAGATCAAGTTCAAAAACGTCAAGGAATTTCTAGAAGCCTGGCACTTTGACAAATCAACTATCAATAGGTGGCAATAGCACTTAGACTTCTATACCACTTCACAGTGCTTGACAGCCCTCTCTAAGCAGTTTACAGAGTCAGCCTATTTCCCCCAACAATCTGGGTCCTCATTTTACCCACCTTGGGAGGATGGGAGGCTGAGTCAACCTTGAGCCAGTGAGAATCGAAAAATTGCTGGCAGCCAGTGATCAGCAGAAGTAGCCTGCAGTACTGCATTCTAACCACTGAGCCACCACGGCTCTGTCTAATAGACATTATGGATTAATCTATAGATTATGCAAAAGAGACAATCATTCAGCCCAAAAGAGAACAAAAGGACTCCAGGACCTCCACACCAGTAATCAGCACTCAGTTCAGCATAGACTAACTCCAAGGTCAACTTCAGGCCAACAATCAAGTAAGCAATTCCTTCAATCAAGAAATGGCCAAAGAGCTATCAGTAAACAGCCCAACCAAACAATCTCTAAGGCCACCCTCACCAACACTGACAGGCAAGACACCAGAACATAAACAGACAGCAAACATCACTCCTTACTAGCACTGATGATGTTGTCTAGTTAGGGTAATGAAACATTTGCAAGAAAATCAAGCCAGATCAGAGAGCTCCAAGCTCTATTAGCTTTCAAACATGCCCTCCAATATGAAGAAATAGGTAGAGTCCATGCTTGCAGATGTTTCATTATCCAAATAGGTAACATTAGCGGTGCATGTACTAGAAGCAAACCCCACACTCTTTCATGCTGATGTTGTTACTTGGCTCGGTAATTAATGACCAGGAACTCAAATTTATTACACTCTTCTAGATGGGGAGCTTTGATATCCTGAGCTGAGGAATGTCCAAGGAAGCAGATCGATTTTCACTGTCCTTCCAAAGGCCTGCAGGACTCAGGCCAATTAAATGCCTGGGGTAGATCATTCTATCTAGAGAATAGGTGCTTCCATAGAAAAGGCATGACTCTCAGGACCCATAAGATTACTGTATAGGTGGTCCTTGACTTACAGTTATTTGTTTTGTGACCATTTAAAGTTACAACAATTGTGCTGGTTGGACAGCCTATAGTTTGTTTAGGAATGAGAGCTACCTCCTTAAGGGAATGCTTCATGGGAAATGTAGTTGATACCTCATGGGAGATGTAGTTCATGTCAAGTGATCACATCTGTAATCCTGATTGGTCACTGACTTGATCTCTGGTTGGGCTGGGGGAGTTTTTGGACATTCTTACCTGGACCCCAGCATCATGCTGGAGTTTGCTATAGTACTACAGCATGAAGAGCTATTTTCACACTATTGAGGCAACTATTGAGGCAAAGATTGGACGTTAGATGAGTCTCAACATAACTGTGAGTTATACTTTGAGGATGCCTAATAAAATCCAATAAATTAACTTTGCATGGAAGCCTTTGTAGTGTTGAACTGCTTGTCCCAGGCTGTTCCAAGAGCATGGGGACAAGAAAACGATACTGAGAAAAAGTGATTTCTTAACAAACGCACGATTCACTTAAAAACTGCAGTGATTCACTTAAAAAAAGCTTGTAAAATGGGGTGCAACTCAACTAACAGCTTTCTTGATAAGTCATGGAAATTTTGGGCTCAAGAAGCTCCCTAAAAAGTTTGCAAATGACAACCCTAGGACCCTGGGACGCTGCAAGCATTATAAATACACACCAGCTGCCGAGCACCCAAAGTTTGATCACATGAATCTGGGGATGCTGAAATGGTCATAAGCGTGAAAACTGGTCATAAATCACTTTTTTCATTGTTGTAACTTTGAATGTTCACAAAATGAATGGTTGCAAGTTAAGGACTCTCTGTTTATAGCAGCTTCTCACCTGCCCTCTTTAATATCCAAGAGCCTACAATTGGACAAGAGTCTCAATGATGGCAATGGCCAATACCACAGACAAGGCATGTCCAAGATCACTGGAGTGACTCCTGTTACTGCAACTAGTTGAAGTAATACATTGGAAGAGTATATCCCTTGTGCCAAATTCTCCAAAACAGATGACTAAATCCTAAGAAATCAACCTCCCTCCTACTGTCCTGTTGTGATGGAGTAAAAACAATATCCCAAATAGCAGAACCGACTTTAGCTTCAAATCTTCCATAATGGAAATTCCAGGCTTCCCTTCCTTCCTTTTTTCTTTTCTTTTCTTTCTTTTTCTTACCCTTCCTTCCTTTCTTCCCTCCCTCTTTCTATCTTTCTTTCCTAATTTCTTTCTTTCTCCCCTCCCTCTTTCTTTTTTTCACCTTTTTTCTTTCCTTCTTTCTTTTCTTCTTTCTTTGTTTCTTCCTCTCTTTTCCCGTTAGATCATAGATCATAGAATAACAGAGTTGGAAGGGACCTTGGAGGTCATCTAGCCCAACCCCCTGCTCGAGCAGTAGAGTCTACTCCAAATATTAGCCTCTGCCTAGGATTGAACTCCTGATTGTGAGGTGAGAGCTTCACCTCTAGGCCACCAAAGCGGAGGATTCCTTCCTTTCCTCCCTCTCTCCCTCCCTATTCCTTCCTTCCTTCCTTCCTTCCTTCCTTCCTTCCTTCCTTCCTTCCTTCCTTCCTTCCTTCCTTCCTTTCATAGAAATAGTGGTGCTTTCAGTCAGGGTAATAACTGGTTAATTCCTCATCTGATAGGAGGCTCTTTCCTCTTCCTTCTTCCAGAACTTTTTGATCTCGAAGTAAATGCCAGAGTCCAGAAGACAGTCATAGCACGACAGATGCCCAAGCGGGAATATCTTGATATCAAGATTCAGGACTACAGTAAGTTACTTTGATTATTTTCATTGTTGAATTTAAGGGTTTATAACCTCATCTTTTAATTTAGAAAAACTCACATTCTAAAAACAAAGAAATAGTTAAAAGCATAATGTCACTTAAAAAACAATCCCCAAAATAGAAATTTAAACCAGTAAGATGGGTAGCAACCCCCAATACAAAAGCCGAATGTATCCATAGCTGTAATAATAAGAGCATCAATAGAGAACAACCAACCCAACATTTATTTGCTTGTTTGTTTATATTCTGCCATAATTATGTTTATAAATAATTCAAGGGAAGGTCTAAAATTCACAGTTTCTTGGTGATTGGCCCAAAGTCACCCAGCCGGCTTTCATACTTAAGGTGGGACTAGAAATCACCTGGTGCCTTAAGTCAGAGGTCTCCAAACTCGACCACTTTAAGACTTGTGGACTTCAACTCCCAGAATTCTCCAGCCAGCATAGCTTAATCTTAAAGTGGCCAAGTTTGGGAACCCGTGCGTTAAGTGCTAGACCAAACTGGGTCTCACAAGACATTGGTGTGTATTGATTCCATGCAATGTGTTAATCAGTCTCCCAGACTTAATGCTGTTCTTATTTGCCAAGGATTTTGTGATGACCCGGGGCATGGCACAAAAATAGCAAAGTCACAAAAGTAGATAAATTCCCTTTAACACCTCCAACTTGGCCCCCAATGTCCTCGGCTGGAAAACAAACTCTTCTAAAAACATTCTACAAAGGGAAGAAATGCAGTCCGAACTCAAAGTACAGATAAATTAGAAATTAAAAAACCAACACAAACCACGCTGACATAATTAACACAACAGGCCAGGATAATAAATTGCAGACTTCCAAAAAATAATGAAGCACACACAGTTGGGAGGATGCCAAACCCAGATAAGCCTCTACAAAGGTAATACACGCTTTGCTTCTAGCAAGATGCTGTGTACAAATGCTCTTCTTATATCCTGTTCTCTCAGCTGCAACTAATGAAAGCGATCAGGGCCCTTTTCTCTCCCATAAGCCATGTTGCGCCCTTTCCCGCTCCTTCCTGCATGCCCTGTGGCCCTGGGTCTTCCTCTGAATGCCCGGCCAGACTGTGCCCTTCCTCCGTTTCTTCCACAGCCACTGGAGCCACACTCCCTCTCCCTGTCAACTGCTCAATCTCCCCCTCAGAATCAGACTCCAAGGGCATGACAGATGTCCTCAGAGAGCTCAAAAATGTTGAGGGTGATCAAACCATTTGTTAAAGTCTCACCTGCCCCTTTTTTGAGTGGCACTGTGTGAAAATAATTGGGTGTTGTGCACACACAGTTGTGGCTACCCACTTCAGTTTTTTTTTTTAGCTCTCCTGCAGACACCTCCCCTTGTTGTTGTACAGTTTCCATAATGGGCAGAGTAAATATTTGCCATCCTGTTGTCCATCTGCCTTGCCTTCCTTGTTTCTATCTTCCCATTCCCTTGCTAGGCTGAAAACGTCTCCTTGGTAGAGACATTTTTCATTAGTTAAGACAGGGGCCTTCAAACTTAACAGCTTTAAAAGTCTTGTGGATTTCAACTCCCAGAATTCCTCCCCCAGTCATGTTAGCTCAGAAATTCTGGGAGTTGAAGTCCATAAGTCTTAAACTTGCCAAGTTTGAAGAGCCTTGGGTTAAGAAGTGGAAGTGTGTGCAGAACCAAAACCTCTTGTCAGAATAATGAAAATGGCCATCATCTCACAAGATCCTCCCTTTTTCTACACACGTGCAACATCCAAGCTTTTGTGATTTACTTTGTTCATTGGCCAACTCCACCACCAAGACTCATTGGCTATAATAGCCATTCACCCAAAGTATCTATCCAGTTAATAGAAGAAACATTTGTGCTTGAGAACCAGTCTATCATTGCCTGACTGCTATTCCCATTTATTTTTCATTGGGCACGTTTTTCTACTTTCAGATAAGATTCTGACAAACCCATTAAACCCACTAAAAATCACATTGGAATAAATTAGAATAGATTGCTATGAGTTCAAAGAAATCGGTTTCCTATTCAAAACTCTTGGAATTACTGACGTACCTCTTAAGTTATGGCCAATCACTTAATGACTGTGAGAGGTTATCGAGGACTTTTCCAAAAGGGACTTACAATTCAGTTTTGAAATTCTAGAGTCACCACCCTTCGTGATGCCCCACGTGATCCTATTTTAGGTGTTCAATGAGCTATGGCCTGTATTTAGAGATATTTGTAGCACCTCATAATCACAGGAAAATGGTGTGTGATATTTTTGCCATTCCTGCATCCCAGAGGCATTTTACGAAACCATAATTCTATTCCATAGCTTCCCCTCATTCCTGTTCCGATAACATTGTGATTGAATCATAATTCAATTCAGATCAATTCAATCACATTTGGATTAAATCCATAATTTTGTGATTTTTTAAGAATAACAGAGTTGGAAGGGACCATGGAGATCTTCTAGTCCAACCCCCGACTGAGGCAGGAAACTCTATACCATTTCAGACAAATTGTTGTCCAATCTCTTCTTAAAAACCTCCAGTGTTGGAGCACCCACAATTTCTGGAAGCAAGCCATTCCACTGATAAATTGTTCTCATTATCAGGAAATTTATATCTTTAGTTCTAAATTGCTTCTCTCCTTGATTAATTTCCATCCCTTGCTTCTTGTCCTATCTTCAGGTGATTTGGAGAATAGATTGGCTCTCCTCTTCTTTGTGGCAGCTTCTTAGATGTTGAAACATGGCTATCTTCTCACCCCAGTCTTCCTTTTCACTAGACTAGACATCATTCCTACAACTGTTCTTCATATGTTTTAGCATCCAGCCTTCTAATTATCTTTGTCCCTCTTTCCAGAGTATCAATATTTTTTTAATATTGTGGTAACCAAAACTGGATGCAGTACTAAGGCTTTATAAAACAGTACTAATATTTCTCATATTAATGCAGCCTAGGATTGCACTGACCTTTTTGGCTGCTGCCACATACTGCTAGCTCATATTTAAGTGATTGCCCAGTAGGATTTCAAGGATTGTCCAAAAACAGGGTGCATTGGATAAAACTCAACACAAATAATCGTAATTTAACTCTTCACCATAGGAAAATCCACAAATATGATATGATAATTATAGTGCACAATTCCTTCTTTGTGATCCTAAAAGATTTCCAAGAATAGCCTTTTTGCTTAATTCTCTATATTCTGCCTTCCCAAGGGATCTCCATGTGAATCATAGCTACAAATCCATACTCTATTACAAGTCTCATACAACAATAAATTAGACCAAATAAAATAAAAGGCTTACGACTAAAACTCATTTGGCTGTTTACTGCCCTTCAAATGCCACTAATTTGAAATTTAATTTCCATCCTTTTGGTAAATGTGTGGAGATTCACATTTTAAAAACCAAATAAAAGTAAGGATAAGCTTGGGAGCAACATGTTTGTGCTAATATACATTTAAGAAAAAGCACATTTAGCTGTTGCTTTAGGATACATGTTTCCATAAAGGCGTCTCGTCTTAATTCATCCAATTTATATTATTTCAAGGGGCAAAGGATAGTCCAAGTCCTGGAGTTTAAAATGCCCTTGAAGAAAACCTAATCTTAAATCCCTTGTGAGGGGGAAAAAGAACAACTTTATTCCATTCTAGAGAAGAGGATTTGCATTTTACTTTGAGTTTCTCCTTGCAAACATTGTTTGATAGGGCTGTCATTCCTCCACCTGCTGAGAGAAGGAAAAAACACATATCAGCACACCCTAATTGCATGTTTGATTCATGACCAAGTGCCTCTCGGCGTAAGATGTGTGGCCTTTTGTGTAGCAGTGCCAATTTTCTTTCCAAAAGAATCTGTTCTGCTAGGGTGTTATTTGCAGAGCCATTCTCTTGTGATGGCATTTTGTTCCCACCAAAAAGTACCCGAGTGTACTAAAAAGAAAAGAAATAAAAGGTTGTTCGTTGTAATGACAGCCTTCCTGTACTTAAACGCTTCTCTCCTCCTTTCTTCTCTTTTCTTCTGTTTGCAGAATTGCCACTGCAAATTTTAAAGCCAGCCGTTTTCATGGAAAACACGCACTACCCTTTGCTCCTCATTGTGTGAGTAATGTTAACAATGGTATAATTTCCCAGTTATAGTCAGCAATGCCAGCCGAGTTGAGAAAAGGGAAATTTCAGAAGGGTGAGGATGTGGCTTTCTTAGGAAAAACCAGATGGGGATGGAAACTTAGCAGATATGGAGGTGGCTCCTAGAAAGAATACTTATTTTAATTATTTCCTGGCTTTATTGTTTTTTTTCAAATACCTTAAGGAGAAGAACATGACTTATAACCCCGACTCTTCTTGTTTTTCCTCACAACAACAACCCTGCAAGGTGGGTTGGGCTGAGAGAGAGAGAGACTAGAACTCACAGTCTCCTGGTGATTCAAAAAGTCATCCCTCTGGTTTTCATGGCTAAGGCAGGACTAGAACTCGCAATCTCTGTGTTTCTAGTCCCTGTAGACCAAACTGAGGTTGCTGCTTGTAAATGATATGTTTTAAGCCAGGGCAAAAAAACAAGGATGCCCCATATCAGAATTCAATATGCTTGTTTTGGATTGAGAGTGTTATGTTCCTAATGTTGTTCTTTTACTTAGCATGATCTGTTCAGATACATGCATGTTTGGACACAGTTAACATACATGAAGTTTGGCGATGCTAGCCAGGGAACCTGGAGTGCAAAGTTTTAGACCCCTTTCCTGGGGTCAAAAACAAGATTTGTCCCTTGGGCTAGTGTGTCTTCTCTCCTCTCTAAAGGCCTTCAGGATTTTTATTTGAACTATTTCACTTTCTTGGCTTATAACTGAACCAAATATAGTCTGCATCAGTGATGGTATTCAAATTTTTTTACTACCAGTTCTGTGGACGTGGCTTGGTAGGCGTGGTATGGCTTGGTGGGTCTGGCTTGGTGGGCGTGATATGGCTTGGTGGGTGTGGCTTGGTGGGCATGATATGGCTTGGTGGGTGTGGTATGGCTTGGTGGGTGTGGTTTGGTGGGCTTGGCAGGGGAAGGATACCCATTCCCTCCCCACCCTACTAACCAGCTTTCCAACTCCGTTCTCCTGTGCAGGGCAACCAAAGAAGACCCAGCCGATCATCTGGGACTCAATGGGAGGCAGAGAAGAGATGGGGGCGGGGCCAGTCAGAGGTGGTATTTGCCGGTTCTCCAAACTACTCAAAATTTCCACTACCAGTTCTTCAGAACTGATCAAAACCTGCTGCATACCACCTCTGGTCTTCATAAATTCTAAAGTGACAGGATTTGGGGGAAGTATTGGTGGATAAAAAAATCAGGATGGTGCCTGCAATCACACAATCAAAGGCCCACCCCTAGGTAATTGTTCGTAAGTCCTCAACTTCAAACAAATGTAACAACTGTTAACAACTGTTTGAAGTTCTGATGGAACTACCGAAACACACATTTCCAGTTTCCCACAGTCATATGGTTTTGCTTCCAGTTTTTTGGCAAAATCATGCCCACTGTAAACTATTGGTTTGCTTAACAACCACAGTCTTTGCTTAACGACCACCACAAAAACAGTTGTAAAATCAGATTGGTCACTTTATGATTGTCACAACCACTGAGGTTATTGCACAAGTATTTGACAATGCAAAGGGCTTAATGCAATATGGGAATATAAACCGGATACCAAAGGTATCAACTATAACCATGGTTTGATCACAAGTTCCCTCCATGCAATTGAAAGAAGAATTGCAAGTTAATCTACATTCCTCAAGAGAGAAGCTGGTTTTTTTTTTTCTTTATGGAAATTAACAAGGTTAAGAATCTCTTGAGGAAAAAAAAGCTTATATTTATCTATTAGACATTCCAAAGAAGAAGAAGATAGTTTGTATTCTATGAGGAAAAGCCAAAGGAAGCGCCTTAAGATGAATAAATTAACTGGGATTAGGATGAATTTTTATTGGTCTGGCAGGTGTAATTGGGGGGGGGAAGCTTTAATAGATGATTCTATGCTTATAAAGTTGGGTTTGAAAATGCATTCTATCTTTTTTTCTTTTCTTTTTTTCTCTAGTGTATAATGTTGGCATAGTTCTTAAAGTTTGTAAAAAATTAGCGTAAATGAATTTGGAGGTGTGTATGTTAAAGAAAGCTAAAAAAGATGTATTAGAATGATTTAGGACGCTAATAGATCGGCTCTATTACGGTCATAACTCAAGCACTTCCTGTACCTGCAGGTTCCATGTCAATAAGGAGCAGAGTTTTGATACCATCTTGGCTTTTTTAATCCCATTACCCAGGTAGATGCCCTTGTGACCTATGCTTGCTAGTTTTAAAGGATGAATGAGGTAGGTCTTGACACATAGCCTAAGACAAAGAGTTCACCATAACATAGTCAATTAACTTCCCTCGTTAAACTTCTTGATGAGGACAGAATCCTATTTTAACCTCCCGTACCTTATAATCCCTCTAGGCAAGTGATTGTCGCTTTTGTATATATAATTTCCTGGTGAAAACAGACATATCGCTAGTATATGTTGGCTGCATCAGGTGCCTGTTTGCTTCCAGGTTCAGTTCAGGATGTTGGTTGTGATCTATAAAGCCTTACGTGATATGGACCAGGCTACCTACGTGTTCTGTCTTTTAATTGCTGGCTGAATATAAAGACAGACAAACAAACTCTACAAAGGCTTCCATACAAAGTTTCTTTATTGGGTCACAAGGCATCCTCAAAGTTAAACTCACGGTTATGTCGAGATCCATCTAATGTCCAATTCTTTGCACAATCGACTTCATAGTGTGAAAATACGGTTATCTTCATCCCATATTGATACAGCAAGGGATCCAGCACGCTGCTGGGCCCCGGCAAGGAAAGAACAGAGGCTTCCCCCAACCCAACTAGAGGTCAATTCAGTGACCAATCAGGATTACAGATGTGACCACATGACCTGAACTACATTTCCCATGAGGCATTAACTACATTTACCATGAGGCATTCCTTTAAGGGGACAGCTCCCAATTCCCAATTAACTATATACTGTCTGACCAGCACACTTCCCGCCGGGAATTATAAATTCCATTGCCAGCTATCAACTAAAGTAAACAACTAAAGTAAACAGTAAATAGTAACATAGCATCAAATAATGCTGTTTGACCAGCACACTACAAAACTAGCTTTGTCCCAATACATTGGCCAGTCCCATCTGCTCAAGAGGAAAGATACGTTGCAGACTCCATCAAATAAAAAAATTCTGGTGAGAATATAGAACCGTGATGGCAAACCTATGGCACACTGAGCCATTTCTGCCGGTATGCAAGCCGTTGCCTGGAACAGATCCACTGCATATGCGCACACGCCTCCCTCCAGCCAGCTGATTGTCGGATATCTGCCACGCATGCCGTGCACATGGGAGATGTGCACGCATGCATAAGGGGGCAGGGTGCGGGGGGTCATGTGCACATGCACAGAGGCATGCAGTGCATGTGGGCGGGCCGCGTGTGCATGAGCAGGGGTGTGTCCTGCGCACATTGCATTATGGGTACAGGCACGCGTTTGTTTTGCACTTTCGGCACGCGGCCACGAAAAGGTTAGCCATCACTGATATAGAATACTCTCCCTCTGGAGGTGAGATGCGGTGCCACACTCCTGGCCTTCGGGAAAGTCAAAACATGGGCTCTGAATGCTCATGTGGAGCATACAGCATGGGGCTAGTTGGTGCCCTTTGCAATTGAGGGAGGTGTCCTCTGGTTTAGGGGTATAATAAAATGTCAGAATATAAAAACAATACGTAAAAACTAAAATGTTAGAATTAAAATTTCAGAATTATTGTTGTTGTTGTTGTTATTGTTATTATTATTATTATTATTATTATTATTATTATTATTATTATTATTATTGGGGGAGGTAAGAATAATTAAGCCCTGTTAAAAATCAATTGAAAAGGGGAAAGGAGGGACTTTCAGGCAGTGGTGGGATTCAAAAAAATTTACTACCGGTGATGAGGCCGTGGCTTGGTGGAGGGGCGTGATATGGCTTGGGGTCGTGGCTTGGTGGACGTGGCAGGGGAAGGATACTGCTAAATCCCCATTCCCACCCAACCCCACTAACCTGCTTTCCAGCTCCATTCTCCTGTACAGGGCAACAAAAGGAGACCCAGCCGATCAGCTGGGACTCAATGGGAGGCAGAGAAGAGATGGGGGCGGGGCCAGTCAGAGGTGGTATTGGCTGGTTCTCCAAACTACTCAAAATTTCCACTACGGGTTCTCCATAACTGGTCAGAACCTGCTGAATACCCACCTCTGCTTTCAGGACACTAACCACAACCCCATGGCTTCATGCTCCTTTGGGCTCCTCACACAAGCATGCAGAGCCCATGTTTGAGAGTGGAGCCAGATGGAGATGTGCGGTTCTGAAATGCAGCAAATAAACCCACAAGTAAATATATTTTTAAAATGTCCAGATGTGTGCCAGTTTAAAGGGAGAACAAAAACTCCTTTCACGAACCCTCCCACTTACTTCACATCAAAATTATCTCTTGGGAAAATGTGCTTCGTTATGCAAATACCCAGGGAAGATTGGTGCTCATCAGGATAACAACACTTGATTAGGACTCTCAGAATGAAAAAGCGTGGCTTGGGTGGGCACTAAGTAAATGTAAATCAGTTCAATCTCAAACACACACACACACACACACACACACACAAATGCACATATATTCATCACTGGTGGGATTCAATTTTTTTTTACTACCGGTTCTGTGGGTGTGGCTTGGTGGGCATGGCAGGGGAAGGATACTGTAAAATCTCCAGTCAGAGATGGCATTTGCCGGTTCTCTGAATTACTCAAAATTTCCGCTACCGGTTCTCCAGAACTGGTCAAAACCTGCTGGATACCATCTCTGATATTCATGTATGGTCTCCAACTGGGCTGGAAAAGAAGTTTTTCTACCACCAAAGAGCCATCAAAAGAAGCGAGGAAAAGTGAGCCTTTTTCTTTTTGTAAATACATTCATCTCCCTTGACAGTTCCTGCAGCGTTTGCTTGATTTCTTGGTGGATGAAAGTCTAAAAGGTTCTAAAGTTAAATTTAAAGGTGAGATTTTGGCCACTTCTTATATAACCTCACACTGACTTCTCAAACAGATTTTAAAGAGCTAGGTGGTTTTATCCTAAATGTGGTACTAAAACCCCTGGAAACAGCGAAGGACTGGCCTGCTGTGCTTCTGCCAGTGAAAACGGACTCCCGGTTGCCACAGCCTCCTACAACCCTCTACCAGTGAAAATGGAGCTTGGGAGGGTTACACGTGGCCCTCCCAAGCTCTGGCATCACTAGCAGAGGGTTACAGGAGGCCGTCCTAGCCGAAAATGGAGATTGAAAGCCTGTTTTCGCTGGCAGAGCGCTCCAGCCACCACTGGCGCTCCTGACACGAGCGATGTCGAGCTAGCCATGCCCACCTTGGCCACGCCCACCCTGGGCCCCCAAGGTCAAACATAATCCTGATGCAGCCCTCAATGAAATCGAATTTGACACCCCTGGTATAGAGAGAGAAGAGTAATGGATAGGGCACACAACCCTGGGGGATTTCTATGCTAATTGAACAGATGTTTGGTGTGATTTTCCCTAGCTTCACCTGCTGTTTCCTCTTTGTTAGAAAGCTTCTATTCCATCTATATCCATCCATCCATATTTTATCTTTATAATTTTTATAAATAACTCAAGGCAGCAAATATACCTAATATACTTTTTGATCTATTTTTCCCTACAACAACCCTGCGAGGTGAGTTGGTCTGGAGTTACCCAGCCCGCTTTCATGATTAAGGCAGGACTAGAACTCACCATCTGCTAGTAACTAGCCAAATGCAATGCCACTTATCTGACTTTAATGTCTAAGGTAGGAGTAGAATTCACGGTCTCCTGGTGATTGGCCCACGATTTCTCAAGTTGCTATGGGTGGGACTGGAACTCCCAGTTTCCCAGTTTCTAGTCTGGTGCCTTAACCACTAGACCAAACTGACTCTGAAAAAGGCAGAGTATTTTCTCATGTTTTTCATATACATCAGGATCTTTGCCTAGAGGGCCTGTTCGTTGCTACTAGTGCTGTGATGGCGAACGCAGAGCCATTTGTGCGGGAACATGAGCCCCAGTCAAACTTACCTGCACTACGCATGTGCACACCTTCCAGCTGATTTTCAGCTCATTTGAGGCCATTTTCGCCTTCCTGAAGGAAGCCTCTGCAGCCTCAGGAGACCAAAAATCAGGCCTTCCGGAAATATCAGAAGTGGTGAAAAAGTCCCATTTTTTTGGTCTCTAATGGCTGCAGAAGTTTTCCTTGAGCCCCCAAGAGGGCAAGAATGGCCTCCCCTAGGCTCCAGAGGCCCTCCAGAGGCTGAAAACGGGCCCTTCCGGTATTTCCGGAAGGCCCACTTTTTGGTCTCCTGAGGCCCTCGAGCCTCTGGGAGGGGGGAAATGGCCTCAAATGGGCCCAAAATCAACTGGGAGGTATGCTCATGCGCAATGCAGGTAAGCAGGGAGGGAACGGGTGTTGCACGTGCATGTGCAGGGGGGAGGGGTGCATTGAATGATGGGTGCAGGCGGCGCGCTTTTGGCATACCACAACAAAAAGGTTCGCCATCACTGCACTCGTGTATTTTCCCTTTTTTTCCTGGTCCTTTTCTCACCCTCAGCAATATCACTAATGTTGTATATAGATATTTGCATACTCGTAATACTACATTCTGATTGGACCGCCATTGCCGCCTATTGATTGGTTACTTGAATTCTGTTGCAATTGGTCCGCCTGACGGCAGGAAGTTTAAGAAGCTGTCATTGGCTGCGAGCCACCGCTATAAAAGAGGCTGCCGCGGCTCCGGTTTTGTCGAAGTTACCGATAGCAAATAAAGAGCTGAATTCACACTGGTCTCGAGTCAGGTCTTTTCCCGCGACAGAACAACTAAGTTGCTCTTGTTCTGTTTCTCTTTCAGGGATGGAACCCCAGGCACCCAGAGCGTCACAGAAAAGTTTGAAGTGAACTGGGAAAGTGTTATGGTCAGCTCCCATGGTGCCATCGTGATGAAATTTGATGGGCGTGGAAGTGGATTTCAAGGGACTAAACTCTTGCATGACATTAAAAGAAGATTGGGCACCGCTCAAGAAAAGGATCAAACAGACGCTGTTCGGTGAATGACCTTAACTCGCTGAAATTCAATTCAGTCACTTGTCTACTCAATGTTCTTGCAATGGTTTATTTCAAAATGTTAAATCATTTGTAAATTTTGGAGAAAGGCAATCTGTACACTTGAATCAAAAAGCAACCGAGGGGTTCAAATGTACAATTTCTCCCTTTTGCATTTTGTACTTCTACCTATCAAGGCAAAGCTGGGCCTTGCTACAGTTAACAGGAGTTAGCTTGAATATAATCATATCTTTTTTTATTTTTTCCCCCAGGGCAATGCTGGAAAAGGCATTTATTGATAAGACTCGAGTTGCTGTGTTTGGGAAGGTGAGTGTCCTTGAAACACTGCTATTTACGGCTACTGCTAGTCATCCAGAATTTTGATCTGCAGTTTGCTGGACTGACTATGTTTTAAGATTTATTCTGAGACTGTAGTGACTCTGTTGGGTAGAAAGTTGGAGGGAAACTATGAAGGTGTGGGGGGGGGCTATGAATTCTAATCCCACCTTGGGAACGAATCCAACTGGAATGGCAAACCACTTCTGAAAAATGTTATGGCTCTCAAATGTTGCCCACAAGTACCCACGTACACACATAGGAACATGTAAGCCAGACTTACAAAAGAATAAGAATAAAAGGAAGACCCACCCCGTAAGATGGCTGTAAGATCTTCATTAGGGATACCAATGGGCTGCAGGCAGGATACAGACTTTGCTCCACTGCAAAGTCCTTGTAGCACTACTAGTTCTGACCAAGACTTCCGAGTCTGTAATTACACACATACTTATTTTAAAAACAAGTCTTATTTTATTGCAACGCTGGGAACTATTTTCATTTCCAGCTGGTAATGAATCTCAAACAGTCTCTCGAGATAAGCACCCACCTTTCTTTCCTGTGAAGTGCTGCCAATAACAGAAGTGTCCAATGAAGTAGAAAAAAAACCAACCAAAGTACAAAGAACTTCAAGAATGAATCTGAACCGGACAACTTTGCTTCCTGCAAAGGTTTCATCATCTTTGCCTGTCCTTTATACCTTATGGGAGGGGCAATCACCTCCTAGCCTTACTCCCTAGTCGCCCCTCTTGTTTCAGCTGCACTCGCTTTCTAGCAGCACTGGGAACAGGCTCTGCTGGGTCCTCTGCCTCGTTGCTGCCAGACTCCGGAGGCTCCACCCCCAGAGGGTCCTGGCCCCATCTCTGAAGCAGATGCAGGACTCTCATCCAAGTCGTCTCCAGACTCCCTGACTGGTCCCCATTCTTCCCCACTGTCCGATTCCACTGCCGTCTGCACAGGCTGCTGGTGAATCACAACACTAATCCTGCAGGTGACTCTCCCCAAATTACGGGGCTCAGGCCTCAGGGGAAGAGCAGCTGCCCAGTTCTGGTGCTTCTTGAATAGGGTAGAAGCAGAACCCTCCCGAAAATGAAAAAGATGCCAATGGGAACACAGAGGTGAACTCTGTAAAGGAAGTCCTTGAGTTATAACCGACCGCTTAGCAGTCTACTTGGAAAAACAGAGTTACGACTAGCTCCTATGGTCAGGCCTGGTCCCACTCCCATGGTCACATCATCGCAGTTCAGGCGTTCAGCATTGTATCCACATTTGTGACCATTCACAGCGTCCCATAGCCACATGACCACGTTTTGCTGAAAACCAGAAGTCAATTCCAATTCTTATAGAAAGTAAGCCATAGTAAGCAATCAGTTCACTTAACGGCTGTGGCATTCATTTTATGACTGTCTCATTTATTTAAATTTTCTGGGGCGGGGGAGAATTCATAAAATCAGGTCAGTTGCACGGCCGACTCAAATTCCAGCTGTCCCGACATACGACCGTAATGGCCAGGCTTCATTACAATCAAATATCAACTCCTAAAATATTTATATGGTCTTTTTAGAAAAGAAAGGGGGGGGGGGGGAGGAGTGTGGCAGCTTGGAAACCGAAAGTGCCTCCCATAAATAGTTTTCAAAGATAGTAACCAGGTGACTAAAATTTCTGCCGTGCAAAATTCTAACTGGAGAACATGATTGATGACTCTTGTCTATGGATGTGTCCCATTGGAGAATATGAATTACGATACACCCAGGGGGTGGGGGAAAAGCAGGGTCAAGAGTGACAATGAATGATGTGTCTCAGAGTCGGCTACACCCAGGCAGTTCTGGATATGTTAACTCCCAATAAATCCTTTTGAAGTTTTGGAAGTTTGGCTCGAGACTCATGATTTAATTGGGGTAACTGCCGGAATCCTGACATCAAGCACTATTTGTACTGCCTTCTTGAGATTTTGGTACTCCCAAGATTCCCAGACGAGATTTACTATAGACTTTGTCACTTCTTAAGTATTTGAAAAGGGGCAAACCAGAGCTCCATGGAAATTCAGGGTTGCTTGATTATTTTTTTCCCTCCGCACGTACCCCCTTTCATCTGCTTTCCTCTTCTCTTTGCCTCTCAGGATTATGGCGGCTACTTGAGTTCATACATCCACTTTTCTGGAGAAGAAAATAAAGAGCCAACCTTCTCGTGTGGCGCTGCTCTTTCCCCATTGTCAGACTTCAGATTGTACGGTAAACAGTGATCTTGTTGGGCCGATAGGAATAAAAGCAGGTTTTTCATTGCATGGCATTGAATCTTAGTATTCTGCAGGTTTGAACTCCTTACAGTTGCAAACATTTAATATTAAAATATGCAGGCCAGGTCTGCGAAAAGTCAAGGTGGAGGCTCCTGGCTGAGAAAAGAATGTGATGCGGAGGCTCAGTAAGGAGATTGGCTGGAGCTTTAGAAGACAGCCATAAGTATTCACCTGCACGGCTTAGAAACCTGGGTAGCTTTGAACAGCTTGCAGTACTGGGTGAACCCAGTACAAGATAAAGTCATCCAAAGCAAACCTGTTCCCTTTCAGAAAGATAATATCCTGTGCTAGGAAGACAAATACGGCTCAAATCTCCATGTATTTTTTCGTGATCGGCCTGCTTTGATGCTGAATTAGTAGTGGTTACATTTTCCAGAAGCCCCTCTTTTTGGTGGGCTTGGTGGAGAATGTCTTGCTTTACAGGAAAGGAAGGAAGGAAGGAAGGAAGGAAGGAAGGAAGGAAGGAAGGAAGGAAGGAAGGAAGGAAGGAAGGAAGGAAGGACAGGAAAAAGGAAGGAAGAACAGGGTAAAGGAAGGAAAGAAGGACAGGGCAAAGGAAGGAAGGATAGGGTAAAGAAAGGAAAGAAGAACAGGGTAAAGGAAGGAAGGACATGGCAAAGGAAGGAAGGATGGAAGGAAGGATAGGGTAAAGTAAGGAAGGAAGAACAGGGTAAAGGAAGGAAGGGTAGGGTGAAGGAAGGAAGGACAAGGTAAAGGAAGGAAGGAAGGAAGGAAGGAAGGACAAGGGGAAGGAAGGAAGGAAGGAAGGAAAGGGCAGAGGAAGGGAGGGAGGAAGGAAGGAAGTTGATGGGAGGGAAGGAGGGAGGAAGGAAGGAAGGAAGGAAGGAAGGAAGGAAGGAAGGAAGGAAGG